AAAGGAGGGGGTTGGTAAGCACCCAAAGGTAACTTAGGTCACGCTCAGTGACACTGTTCACCAGGAAGGTTCTGTGAACGCTCCCATTCCTCAGCCCCGCCCCACGGGCAACATGATCCATCTGTCATCTGACTAATGCGTGGGGTGAAGCAATGTGGACACTGTAATCCCAGGGCTCAGTCAACTTAACTCTCACGACAACATCATGTTGTTAAACTTTCTTCCCTCACTTGCTCCTTTAGCCTTGCGTTTGGGAGCTTTGTGCCAGCAGAAAAGGCGCCCGTGTGCAGGCTGACACTTGTCTAGCTGCCTGTCTCCCACTGGGCCGCAATTCCTCTTTTCTTTTTTTAAAAATAAATGTTTTCATTGATTTCAGAGAGGAAGGGAGAGGGAGAGAGAGAGAGACACATCCATGATGAGAGAGAATCATTGATGGGGTGCCTCCTGCATGCCCCACACTGGGGATCGAGCCCACAACCTGGGCATGTGGCCTGACTGGAATCGAACCGTGACCTCCTGGTTCATAGGCCGATGCTCAACCACTGAGTCATACCAGCTGGCCCCCCAATTCCTCTTCTCAACCAAGGGATAATTGTCCCCAAGTCACAGACTCATCAGGGTTTTATATGAGGTGGTACATGAAAAGGATCCGTACAGGGTAGGCCTCAATAAATGTAGGTTTCATTGCCTTTTAACCTGTTATTTTTCTTCTTGCTGAGAAAATATAACTTTCTGTAGGATAAGATAAATAAGCAAGCAAGAGTGTCTAGTTTCTACTGCCGGGTAACAAGCAATCTGAAAATTCAGCATCTTAAAACTATCAGTTTCTCGTTCATGGTTTTGTGGGTCGGAAATTTGGGAAGGCTTACCTGGGCAGGTCTCGCTGGGGGGTTCCCAGGCAGTTGTTGGGTGGGGCTGCCATCATCCGAAGGCTCGACTGGGCTGGATGTCCAATTCGACACACTCACTTGGCTGGTAGCTGATACTGGTTGTCGGCTGGGCGGAGCCTGGGGCTGTCAACCGGACCATCTACAGGTGCCTGTGCAGCATGGAGGCGTTGAATTTCTTACGTGGGGGCTGACTTCCCCACCAGAGCAAGCATCTCAAGGGGCCAGGCCAAAGCGTCATGGCCTCTTAGATCTGGTTTTATTTTTAAAAATATATATTTTATTGATTTTTTTTATAGAGAGGAGGGGAGAGGGATAGAGAGTTAGAAACGTCAATGAGAGAAAAACATTGACCAGCTGCCCTCCTGCACACCCCCTACTGGGGATGTGCCCACAACCAAGGTACATGCCCTTGACCGGAACTGAACCTGGGACCTTTCAGTCTGCAGGCCGACACTCTATCCACTGAGCCAAACCGGTTAGGGCTAGACCTGGTTTTAGAAGTCACATAACATCACTTCTGCTACACTCTGTTTCTGGGAACCTGCCCAGATCCGAGAGGGGACGTAGACGTACTTCTCCATGGAAGGAGTAGCTTCCATGTAGATTAGCAGGGGGGATGGAAGATACCGAGGCCATCTTGGGGAAATAGGACGTGACATCCCCCCTTCACAAATTTGTATGTAAATTGGGGCTTTTATCAGTTAGGGTTCTTGCTCATGAACTCCAGAGGCTGGCTCTGGTTAGCTTAAGCCAGTGGTTCTCAACCTTCTGGCCCTTTAAATACAGTTCCTCATGTGTTGACCCCAAACCATAAAATTATTTTCGTGGCTACTTCATCACTGTCACGTTGCTACTGTGATGAATCGTCATGTAAATATCTGATATGCAGGATGGACTCAGGCGACCCCTGTGAAAGGGTCGTTCGACCGCCAAAGGGGTCGCGACCCACAGGTTGAGAATCGCTGGCTTAAGCAAACGTTTTTGGAAGGCTTTGTTCACAAAAGGTCACGGCCACCAAGCCAACAGGAGTCCCCAATCTGGAGAGACTTAATTCATGTGAACAGTCTGCACATCCAGGACTTAAGCAAACGTTTTTGGAAGGCCTTGTTCACAAAAGGTGACAGCCACCAAGCCAACAGCAGTCCCCAATCTGGAGAGACACTTAATTCATGTGAACAGTCTGCACATCCAGGAAATGAAGCCTCCACAGGAAACTGAAAGTGTGTTCCCCTGAGACAAAGGGGAGGCCCGATAATACAGAGCACATGTCTGCCCTGGTCCCCGATTGGTCCATTTCAATGCAAATGAAGGATCCAAATGTGCATCGTTTGATTGGTCCAATTCGCACTGT